GGGATGCTGCCACAGGTGAGACCCCAAGGGACGGTCGTTATCTGAGGCGACCGATGTCAGCCCGTTTGGAAAAGGCACCTCATTCAACGACTGGGGGTCTTTTTTTTTTTTTTTAAGTCCAGGCATTTTGACACTTTATTGACTATACCTGGCATAAACATCAACAGGGTTATGGAGGAAGTGGGTGGGCAATGTGCTGGCTGAGGTGGGGTGTTTGGGTGTTCCTCGCATCCTCATTCCTTGCGGACAGGCTCCTGTGTTTGTCGTAGGGTAGATGAGCAGCTGAATAATGGGTTGGTTGCTGATGAAAACGCTTTTTAGTTCTGTGCTGTTTGTGAAGCGGAGCTGTGTTAACAGAGGGAATGAATACTGAGTGTTTTGGCCCAAAGTGAAATAATCGTCAAACTAGCGTGACCTGTTAAAATACAGCTTTCGCAAGAATTTCCTAAACCTAAGAGTACCAACCCTTATGATTTCCAAAATGCAACTTATTTTTTCATAGGTTTTGTCTGTTTGTTTTTTAGATTCCCTCTGAAGGATTCAAAGCGTCTGATTCAGTGGCTAAAAGCTGTTCAGAGAGACAACTGGACTCCCACCAAGTATTCGTTTCTTTGCAGCGAGCATTTCACCAAAGACAGTTTTTCTAAGCGGCTAGAAGACCAGCACCGGTTGCTGAAGCCCACTGCTGTCCCTACTATCTTCCAACTTGCAGAGAAAAAACACGACAACCTGGATTATGTCAGAAGCAGAAGAAAAATAGCAAGCCAAGTGCTGCTGCAGGATGGAGAAGACCCAAGGGAAGGAGGCTGTGAGGTAGTTCAGAGGACCTCATCTCCTGACCAGGACTTCATGGTGATGCAAGGGACGAAAGAGATGGAGGAGGCAACTTTGCAAGCGGAAATCAGATCAATGTCTGAGGAGGAAGAGAACCTCCATGGCCAGCTGGACGGCCCTCGGAGAAGGACGTTAGGTGATAATTTGGTTTCAAAGTCTGGACCTCAGAAAAAGCCTGAGAGATCTTCTGTGGAGGACTGTCCTAAAGCCACCTGGACGGGGAGCTGGGTAGCGGACAGAAGTGGTGTGTCGGTCGATGACTTCACGCCTCCTGCCTCTGGTGCTTGCAAGTTCATTGGCTCCCTTCATTCTTACAGCTTTTCCTCTAAGCATGCCAGAGAGAGGCCATCTTTTCCAAAAGAGCAGCTAGAAAGGAAAAGGCCAAAGAGAGACGTGGAACCGAGCTGCAGCAGCCATCTTATGGGACACGATAAGGCTGTAGCGGAAGGCTCCCCTACTTCATCCCTCACTGCGACCCCTCAGAAACCTTCCCAGGGTTTGTCGGCGTCCCCAGCAGACCTTACCCCTCAGCCCGCTGCAGAGGCTGTGGTGGGGCGGAAGGGTGACACAGATGCCAACCCGATGTCAATCAATGAGGTCATCATGTCGGCCTCGGGAGCTTGCAAGCTCATCGACTCCCTCCACTCGTACTGTTTCTCCTCCAGGCAGAGCAAAAGTCAGGTGTGCTGCTTGCGCGAGCAGGTAGAAAAGAAGAACGGAGAGTTGAAACTTTTGAGGCAGAGGATCAGTCGCTCTGACAGTCAAGTCAGGAAGCTGAAGGAGAAGCTAGATGAGCTGAAGAGGATCAGTTTCCCTTACTTGAACAGCCTGCTATCCCAGGACTGTGGTCAGTATTCCCAGTGGCTTTGCGTTGAGGCAGGATTCACTGTTTTCTTAGCAGTAAGAGGCTGTTTTAAGTTAGAGGTCGTAAAGATGTGATGGGTAAAAGATATAAGAAAGGTACATTTGTGGAAGGAGAAGTAGTAGCTTGTGTTGGACCAACGGATAGAGGTGAAAGAATTAGGTTGTTTGGAACATGAGCCATTTCTTACATGCCAAAATTTTCTGAGGCAATTCCTGGTGTGGAATGGGAAGTTAGATAGTGGTGTTGCAGACAAATGTCTTAATGTTTTTTGTTTTTTTTTCCCCCTCTGTATTAAGTTATTTGTGACTCAATAGCACCTGTTAGGATTTACCTTCCTTTGGAGTGTGCCTGTGAATTTTTTTTGTGTGTTAATGAGCTGTCGTGGGCAGCAGGTAGCTGGGAAAGCTGTTGTAGTCTTCTCCAGGGATGTAAGAAGTACTTCTCATCTTAGATTTCATATACTGCACTCAATACTTTGGATATATGAAATCCAAGTGAGGTGGTAGGTATCAAATATGATAATGTCATGATACACAGCGAGGTCACCTTTCGTGACTGAATGTGTTTTGTTTGATCGTTTCTTCCCACAGAAGGCAGAAGAAATCAGGAAATGGATGATAATAAAGTGGGAAGAGATGGAGAATGACTTCTCTATCAATTAAAAAAAGATGAAGTTGAGACACCTGAAAACACAGGGGAACTCAGTGAGGGACAAGGTCATGTAAAAAGGTTCTTGTGGAGAAGTTGAATCAGGCCATGACCCTTTCTCTTGCAAGAAAATGAATGGTTAATACATAGCTGATAAAACTTTTGCACAGCGGCACTAGTTGCAAGATACAATTTGGAGGAAGAGCTTAGGAGTATCTGATGATGTTTGATGTTTGTGTGGCTGCTGAGAAAATGTTGGGTTGCCTTGTGAAGGGTGTGTGACTTGGGGCTTTCCTGAAGAAGTCGCCCATGGATTGTTAGGTGTCCCCCGATGATAATTCTCACATCTCTCCTTCTTTAGGAGAAGAAACCTCATGGCTTCTTCTAAAGCCACGTAGTATTAGACACGGTCAGAAATGTGATACTGGCATAGGCAAACACGTTCGCCAGACGATTACAGCACGGCCTACTTCCTCACTCAAGTGCAAGAAAATAAACCCCGACAAAATTCTTGAAGGTCAATACCCAATGCTACTTTTCCCATGTGTTTTTAATTTTCCAAAGTATGGGGAAACTCGCACTTCGATTTGGGTAGAGAGAGGAAAAGAACTATTTTTTCCGCATGGGAAATCAACATAGTCTTAGTTGTACCTTCTGATCTGTATTTTTGAATTGTTTTAGTGTCAAACTAAAGAAAATAACTAGATACAATTTTAGGGTTCCATATATATATAAAAAAATTGTATCTAGTTATTTTCTTTAGTATATGTATATGAAAAAAGGGTGTCCAGCTTTGTTGGAATACCTTCAATGAGATACTAATTGCAAAAAGGGTGTCCTGAAGGATGTTTTTCTTTATTCTAGTAAGCACTATGATTTTTCTTTTCATTCCTGAAACAGATGTTCTTATACATACATCTTTGAGAACGTGAGGGTTATATGTTAAGAATATGTACTATAAGAACTACATGTTCTATTTTTCTAAGGGAAAATGTCATTTATTTTAGATGAATTGACCAACTCGTTACCTGTTTTGCCATCTCTTATCAACAACACTGGAGATCAATCTGTGAAAATGAACCATTTCAGCGATTGTAGCTTAGCGCAATGGGAAGTTCTTATAGAACCCCTTGGCTGGTGACTCTTTAAAAGGGTTTGTTGGTGGGTGGCTGGATTTTTTTTTTTTCTTTCTTAGCTTAATCTTGGGCTTTTCTACATTGCATTGCTTTTTGTTTGCTCATAGTAACAGTTTATGGCAGTCAAAATACCTGATTAAGGGCAGCTGACTGCTGCTGGGCAGAGTCTGGTTTATGTCTAGACACTTAAGTTTTACTCTAATACAAAGCTAAATTGAAGAATGGCTTTTTGGTATTAATAAAAATACAGTCAGGTAACATATTAGGTTAATAATAATTACAGTCTTTGTTAGTAGCGACATTTCAGTTGTCCTAAATCATCTGACCTGTAGTTGAGGTGGTGGTGTTAGCTGGGAACCTGAGCCTGCATATATTTTTCTTTTAAAGGCCGTGCCTTGGGGATGGGGAGTGTAAGTAAAGTCACTGACTGGACTGACCATGCAGGTTGTTACGTGTCTGCATCCCAGCTCCGCGTGCTGCGGAACCTCTCTTTGCTGCTGCCTGATGTTCAGCCACTTCCACAAAATCCTGAGCAGAAAAATGGCCCGCACCCATTAGGCAGATCTTCATTTTGTTATTGGTTCTCAACTGATATTTTCCTCCAGTGAGGCAACTAAGTTTCTGCTGGCTGTATCCAAACTACAACCGGCTGGAAAGAGCAGGTTTCTGCGAAACTGCTGCACAGGCAGTCCCTGCCAGCCACGCTTGAGGATCAGTGACGCGGGCTGGGTGAGCTTGGCTCACAGCATGCTTGATCTGTCACGAAGCACTCAGGCGGTGCGTCCCAACCTGTCTTAACAGGAGGATCAACTCACTGGTTTTAGGAGAAGCCCTGGACTGTTACCAGCACAGTGACCTTTTCCATCTAAACTTTGAATTTGCTCACTTGTTGGGTTGGAAAATGTTTCCTTCTGTTTCATGGGTCACTTCTCAGGTCCGTGGACCACAGGTTGAGGAATACTTCCAGCAGAGGAGTGCGGTTAGGCACAGTGCACCAGGCAGAACGAGGTCAGATCCATCTTCTGGAGAACAACAGGATGCACAGGGAGAGAGCCAGCAAGCAAATATAGATCCAATGTCCTGGGGAAGGGGAGCCTCATCTTAACAGGACTGTCCTCTGATACAGAAGTAATATTTGACTTTCTTGTTCTACTGGAGGTTTCGCAGCTCTGCTGCATCATGCTCCTCCAGAGCTAGCACAGACAGGAGATCGGATATGCCCCTTTCACAAGATCACCTCATCTTAATGTGCTCGAGTTTGGTCCTTGTGTAAAACTACATCTCCCAGCAGGCACTGGAATAACTGTCCTACCTAATCATGAGATCACTTCCCTTATAGCCATCTTATCAACCCTGCGCAAAACACTTTCTGGTGAGCAAAGGTGATTAGAGAGCTAGACCAAGCAATAGGAAAATAACTGCAAATTATGGCTGGCAATGGAGGAAACGCAGGTATGATTCAATGGGATTGAAGTGTCTGTATTTATCGGAGAGGTGAAGCTGTTAGAATTCAGGCATCTGAGTGTATGTGGAACCTCTTCCATACTGCGTGTCTGTTTTCATGAAGGTCATATTAAAGGCAGGAGAGTTTGCAAAACGAGTTCACGTTAAAAAATGGTTAGAATTTTGCTAGGAATCTGTAGTAAATCATATTTCCTTCCAGCTTAGATTTGTCTTTATTTATACAAAACCAACATAGAAATTGGGTTGTTTATCATACTTTTTACACGTAAACGAAGCGTAGTTGGTGGTGAACTTTGGGGACAAGCACAAGGACTCGAACGTTCAATGTCTGGTTTTGTGCTGAGGTGGAGTTCTGATGGCTGGTCTGTGGGGCCTGAGCTGATGTTTCCCATCGAGGTGGCAATGGGTTTTCGTTCGTGTTGCAGAAAACAAGTAGCAAAGTTATGTTCCTCAGTGGCAGTGAGAACAGAAGTGGGGTTGTTGCAAGGGTGCGAGATACTGTACTTTCACCTGTCTGAGCAGGACTTGAGCAGCAACGGGTCTCTGTCCAGTTTATCTTGAAAATGAAATGCGTATAATGGATTGCAGAGATGTGCTGTCAGAAAAATTGCTTCCACCAGGGCAGGCACTGCTAACATGGCAGCTGCATGTTAACTTGGAGCTAGATATTGGAAGAAAAATGCTTTTATTCAAGCAGATGCTGCTTGTGATTTTTTTTTTTTTTTTCCCCCCCGCCTTGTCTGAGATGAGAATGACCAGGGTAGAAGGCTGGTCGGTAGAGTAAGTGGGTGTTACAAAGAAAAAGAGACCTGTAAAGTAAGATAAGAGCGAGATAAGGAGTAGGAATATGTGTGCATAGGTTAAAAGCAGGGCTGAATCTGGCAGAAGGCATCACGAGAGAGGCTAGGGGAGACTTCACAGCACCTAATGGGAAGCTGCCTTGTGCTCTCCGTGGG